GTCTGTTGTTGCCACCGTTCATCGTTCTCCGCAATACCCTCTATGGTGAAGCTCCTCGCCACTCTTTCGAAGTGCGCTAGCTGTAGAATCCAAGTGTGGCATGGTTTGTTGCAAAGTGCAAATGGCATCACTTACAGTCAGCACCCCAACTGCTGTTCGTACATATGTACATATTGATAATTGTGTGTATGTGTTCGTGTGCGTTTCGTATCATCACTCTCGTGTTGTACATATCATAATTATCAGCGTACAAACAGCCGGCAATCCGTACAGTTATCGCTAATGTGATTATCGTAATTATTCTTGTTACAATTTTTTCGCGCTGTGGCAGCGTTGTTGCATGCAGCTTTAAATATTTTGTATGTTGTTGGCTTTTAATGTAAAATATGTACATTCGCATCCTGCACCATTGAATGGGAGCGAAGACGCCAACGAGAGTGCTGCTTTTGGCAGCTTTAGTATGGTTTGAAGTTACGAATATCGCTAACGGAGTGCTAATACCCTATTCTTCTCTAACCGCAGATTTAAAGTTGGACAATTGCAGCATGACTGCAAGCGGAAGAAAAGTAGAAGGAGAGAAATAATTGTAGGGTTAAGTGCCTTACTTTTCTGATACACTGACAAGAAGACAACTAGCAGACCCTTGCTGCAATATATTTCATAATATCAAGAGAGTAGTAACAGCAGACCGCATGTGGCACAGACACCTTTGACGCTTTCCATTATAGGTACCTTAAATACCGTCGATGCAGAAGTGATAGGTCGATTTTGTGCTTCGTGTTCAGTATAAGTTCGACTTGGACTGGAGTTTGATCTCTTAGCAGCAGTTCTGTAGAGGTAAAAATTATTGCTACTTGAGGGTTTGTTGCCACTTTGATATATAGTTACCATTCTGGACCACAGTTAGACCACCTTTGAGATTAAACTGTCATATATTTTTTATGCTGCTCTCAGCATAACAAGCTTTTTAGTCAGAGAGCTGCTTAGTAATCAGCTTAGTATTCAGAAAGAGTCTCATTATCAATTTTAAGAGATTTCGAAGCGTTTTTGTGTTTTTTCGACTTGCTTTGAGTTAGTTCCATAAGCATTTAACCTAAAATAAGTTTAAATTATGTGGGTGCTGGTGTTCCGTACTTATATATATATTATACTCGTATGCTACGACTGCTAGTCCGTATTTTTTTCTGTTGCTACTGGTGGAGCATATAAATAAATTCTAATTATGGCATGTTACCATATAGCACTAAAGTAGATAAGCGATCCACATTAAAGTTAGCTATTAACTAATAAAATAAAAACGATAAATTACGTACAATTAGTGAAAGATCTCATGCAATAAAAATAAAATATTTAACAGAAAAATGCACAAATTTAAAGGCTTTTACCTGAGGCCAGCTTTCAATATTTAACCACTCAAATAAGCGAGCTTTCGAAAAGAACTCCAGCTTTCCCACAACTTCAATGAAATATTCACCAAAAATTAAATGAAAAATTTACTAGCATTTTTATCAATGCAACTTGCATGCATCTTATATCTACATATTTATATGCATATATATGAAAAGATATGCATTTATAATTACGTATATACATATGTATGTCTGTATTTGTGTACTTATCGCTACCGATAATGTATTGTAATTGTTTTTCTGTTGGTAATCGGAGTATTTCATTCTTATCGCATGAAATGTAAGTTATGGTTTTGATAAATGCACAAACGGACAGCGAAAGAGCGCGAGTGAGTGAGAGAGAAAGCAAAATAATAAAACAAAGTGCTGCATATTTTATAAAGCAAACCGCGAGGCTGTAGCGCATGGGCGCATATGTAACTGCATATATAAATTAATTAATACGCTGCCATGTCTATGTTACTACATATATATATGTTGCACGTATGCAGCGCAGTATGAATGATAAAATGTAAATGTGGAATGCTTAAATGCTGCTGTAGTGCCTGGCCGTTGGCAAGGCACTTAAGACCAGGCCTTAAATTTAGAGAATGCCTGATGCTTTATTTAAATAAATTTACAAAAAAAAATATAAAAAAATTTTAAATTAAAAATTAAAATAAAAAACAAAAAAAAAACAGTTAACAAATTTTTATTTTCTAAACATAGTTTATACATTTGGTATATATGAATATATATATAGTATATAAATATACAAGCTAGTTCTCTAATATACACAGGCTTATGATTTTCTTTAACCCTTTCCACTCAGCACTTCTTCAATTTGTATTTATTTTAATTTATTCTAATTTTCAATTAATTGTTTTAGCTACACCGTTACATAGTCCACTATGTACCTGTTAGGCCAAGAAATTTCGGTCTGAACTGCAGCACCACTCTTTTCTTTCTCCCATTAAGCACACGACTTACACGCCGTGCATCTATCTTACACAGTTGTTGTTGGCTTGTTTTCCACCGGTATCGTGCGGTTTTCGTTATGTGTGCGTTAAATGATTTTTCATGTCATTATTTAAATATTTTAGTTGCACCTCTACGCACTCTTACTTGTTCTCTTACGTCAATATATGCTTTGCTTACGGCTTGTTGTTACTGTTTTTCTTGTGGTTTTCACTTGCTTGCTTTAGTCGCGGCATACAGTTTTATGGTTGATTTAATTAATTTAAAATCCAATACTAATTGTTATGCATTTAATTGCCGGCTATGGGTTCGTGGTTTCACCGTAGCGCCAACACAGGTGCATTATATCGTTGAACCTCGTTGTGAAGCAGAAAGGAAGCCACAAAGCTGTAGAACCAAAAGTAATTCACCAAGCCAATGTGTTAAGATGGCATATATTATGCAAAGAAGATTACGTTGATATCGCATATTCTATTATAAATCGTTACAAAACTAACCGAGCACTCTGTGTAGCTCTCATTAAACAGTGAAGTAAATAATGAAGTGAAGTTATAATATAATATATGGCAATGTTTCTACAGGAATCTGGCAAGTCTAAGCAAATAGTTTCTGAAAAGTTTTCAGGTTGTGCGATGGGAGCGCTTTGAGATCGAATTTATCGAATTTTTTTTCGCAAATAAGAGTAAATAGAGAAGTTTGAATATGACCAAGTCCTTTGCTGATTTGTAGAAAAGGAAGTTAGATAACAACCCCCACATGAATCTAACAAGCTTACATAAATTTTATAATAAATATTATAAATAAGGCCTCTGATCCACAATTAAAAGAGTTTTGGCGTAGGAATTCGTTAGGTTTCGTTTTGGGTATACTCAGATCCGTTTTGCTTTAACTGCGATATGAGTATGAGGACAGTTTGGTGAAGAAAATACTTAGCTTGGATTCACATAAGCACGAATCTTCACACTTAAAGACACAAAGTTGTGCTTAAATAAACTTTCGAATCGATTCCAGTTATAAATAACCATTGCTAACCTCAAACTTACCGATTTGGACCACATATAACCAAAACTAAACGACACGCATAACTGAAATGCTAATTTCAATAGTCTGCTCCAACTAAATAAGTGCAAAATCTTTGCGCAAAATCCGCCTACCGACCTCTACAGGAGGTGGACAGCTGGCACACCAACTTTTACCAAATTGCAATACGAAGCCAGCAACAACAACAAGCAATGAATTGAAAATGTGAAATGTGAATGCGATTAATGATGCAAATATTTTTGAAAGCGCGAAAAATTGTGCACAAATTCGCCATGACCATGGACAATGTGTGCAACAACAGCAACAACAACAACAAGCGAAAGAAATGCATAAGATATGCTGGCGGGGGAGACACGAGTGAAGGCCTCTGATGAAGATTGCTTGTCTGACACTTGCTGCAAACAAATTTACACAAAAGCATGCATATGTGTGTGTCTGTGTGTGTGCATAATAAAGCGAGTATCGCTTGGATGTGCGCACGGATTATTCCTGCATTTTTTGTTGCTCGTTTACCGCTTGATGGTCCGTTGTATTGCAAATCTTGTTGTGTATCTGCATATGTGACTATGTGTGAACTTGTGCATGTCGCAGGTACATGTTGCCAACTAGCCGGCGTACACATGTACACTTGCTGTACAACAACTAGACACTTTATACTATTATGTGGACAGCAAAATATTGCCGTGGAGGGGCGGCAACAACAGGCATGGCAATAACAATAAATAAACAACAACAACAACAATATTCTCAGCGCTCATTGCAATGTGTTGACATTTAACAAATGATCGCATAAATGTTGGCAAACGAATGTTGAAAGCAATCGATGCGGCAAGCAACCAACAACATACGCGTACATATATGAACATGCATACACTTAGTAAAAAGTTCAGCAATAGCAACAACAACAATATAGTCAGCAAATATTATTCGTATGCTGACATAATAAATAAATCGCTGTTATTATTGTTGCTTCGCTGATGCTGGTGGCAAGTTTGCTGCTGCAATGTGTGTTGTAAATTTTCGTTGCTGCATGCGTGCTGCAAGTAGTGTGCTTTTATGTGGTTTTTTTTTTTAATATTTTTCTATTTTTTATTTGCGTTTTATGTACCCTTTTTGTAGTATTTTTTTTTTTTTGCTCATGCAACACAAACCGCTTTATATGCGGGTCATGAGCAGCAACGGCACACATCAATAACTGGCAATATGATATTGCAACAACAGTTGGCACGCCTTTTGTGCTATCAACAGCATTGTAAGCGCTTTTGTATTATTAAACGGTACTTAAATTAGACTTCATTTGTTCGCCAAAATGCTTGCTGATTTATGTGGCAACGTGGAATTCAATTTAATCAATTGCTTAAGTGCAACAAGTGACTGGCTGGTGGTTTTTCGTATGTTTTGTATGAAAATTTAAAGTTTTTTGGACTGTGAGCAGCAATAATTGTAGTGCATGGTTATGTTGCCACAAGTGAGCGATTGCCTTTATAGAAGCAGCTTCATAGAAATGTGTTCGTCTGCAAACTCTAGTGATTTTAGCAACTCGTGTATGACAGAATCGAAACTGTTCTTAGAGCTCGGTTGCAAGATAGTAGGCTTGATTCTAGTAATAGGCTTGTATATAAAAACAATTCTAAGACAAGCGACTCGACAACTTGATTGGATATTTATGGAAAAGACAACGCAAAATATTTTTCTAACTTTAGGCAAAGAAATCTATGACTTTATAATCAAATACAAATTAAAAAAATTTCGTCTTAAGGTTTTCAATAGAAAGGTAGAGCTAAAGTCTGCTCTCGGCATACGAAAATCAATTCTTTGAAGGCTTCGTACAATAACATAAGTGTTTCTAAGCAGTTGTTCTGTCGTTTGTTTGTTTTTTAAGGTTATTTTCTCAAAATAAAAAGGAGGAGCAGAACTTGAAGAAGCCAACACCAACAAAATGCAATTTCATTACGTTTCAATCAAGAGATGAAATCTAAACGGCAGCCACTCCAAATTCCGTAAGTACCAAAAGAAGTACATCTGCGCTGCTGTTGTTGCTTACGGCGCGTTAGTGAACTTTTTGTGCACCTAAAAGTCGCTTTGCTTTTGTTTTAGCTATTTTACCGCTAACAATTTCGTTTGCTTCGTTCAAATCGATCTTCAAATTTGAAATGTGTTCGCCAGCCCGTATAGTATATGATGTTTACTACCTTCGCCGTTGTTGTGATTGTTGTTGTTATTGTATTTGTGCCACAGTTATAGCTTTCGATTTTCGCTGTTTGCATTTGTGACAGTGCTAAAAAAGTTGTAACTGCAGCTCCAGTTACAGTTCACATTAGCGGCAGGCAAGCACTAAAATGGCTAAAAATAGGAGAAAAAGGAAATGCCAAGAATGAGTGGAGAAGGCGTAAAGGAAATGCATGAACAGACTGCTGTTGAGTGAGTACGGGCGCTGATATTGGCGAAGGCATAAAACCAAGTTATAAAAGGCAATGAGAAAGACTGGTGGTAGGCGAGCTGGTTTATTGCACGTGTATGTGTGTGGTAAGGGGTAGGCGAGGTGGCGTCTGTGAAGCGTGCAATGGCAATGCAGTGGCCAACCAATATTGAAGTGCAACTTTACAACAATAAAAAACATATTACAACAAACAAGCGCAATGGCAATATGTAATGGTTTAGGTAATGGATTTTCTGCTCTATATGTAGGAAACACATATCAGGCAAGTCGTTTACCGCCAAGCAGCTGCGCGCTGAAGTTTTAGAAAAAATAAATGTATAAAAACATGAAGAGAAGACAATTTTCGACGAATATATAATAAAAGCAGAGAAAGTGGCAACACCGCACAGTGTTCCATAACCACGAAAAGACTGAGAATAATTTTTGTTGTACGGAAAATTTTTTTAGAAAGCTTAGAGCCGTAGTGTTTAAGGGAATACCTTAACCAGACCTTCTTTAAAGAGGTTTCTGTTTGTCTAAAATAAAGTACAATAATTTTTATAGCACGAAACATTTTTTTGAAATCTTAATTTTTTAAGTGGGTTCTAATCTAGCACTACTTCAAAGAGGTTTCTGTTTGTTTAAAAAAAAGGACTACCTGAAATATTTGGAAACGTCACGCAATAAAGAAATTATAGCTACATACAGTGCTAAGATATAATGTGCCTTTCCTCAGCTAATTTACTCGCCATTAAACCGAGCTTTCAGCACAATATGGTTATATTTATTCCACTAAAAAGGAAAGTCAACGCTCTTTCTTCAGATAAGACGTAGTAGAGGTCTGTCAGATTTTAACCTTTGAGCTTGTAAGCTGTCCGTATCATTTCAGCCAATAACTATTGAAGCTCTCAGCATACCTATATTTTCTATAACTAATCTAGCATTTCTACAGCATTTGTCAAGATTTTAGAAATTATTTTTCGAAGCGCCGTAATTCTTCAGCAGATCTACATCAAATTTTTAGGAATTAAGAGTCGTTTCAAATATTTATAACCTTACTATATCCATACATTAAATGAGTTGTAAAGCTGATGTAAAGAAGTTTTTGTGCCTTGCCTTTTCTACAAACAGAGGTCACTGTGCGTTACTCCATTTTTGCGCTTGCTTATTTGCCACAGCGCGTTTTGCGCGTGGTAATGGTGTTGGCGCTGTTGTTATTTTTGTAACACTTTAAGTTATTTTTGTTATTGTGAAACAAAATTGTTTGCGCTTTTCCTTTGCTGCAGCACACAACTCATGCGCCTGCGGCATAAATTTTATTTAAGTTGATGCAAACTATACACGAACATGCTTACATAAAGGCGGCGGTATATAACGGTGGCAGCATCAGCGCTCCGAAATTGCAGTCAACAAATAATAACAAGGACAACAGCAAAGCGAACAACAAGTGAAGCAATAATAATGACAACAGCCTGAGTATGCGCAGCAAGAACAAAAATGAAATTTACAAAAATAAAAAAAAATTCAAAAAAAAGCAACGAAAACAAAACATGCAACGTCCAACCAATTTACCCCAATGCCTGCGCAACACTTACCCTCAGCCGCCTCTTCAGATCATTAGCTTTGCCTTTCTACACTTTTTCTGCCTCCTTTAGTGCACATATCTTCCCTGCTACGCTACAAGGCATGCGCACACGCGCATTTCGCGCTACCACCAAACGGACGCGCTTAATATGTCTAAGAACCGGCTCTTGCACGCCGCTCACACCGCTGAGTCCTTCATGGCTGTTGCAGCCAGTTTTGGTCGATACCGCGCCACAGTTGGGCACAACGCCGTACGCGCCGGCTTGCAATGCGCTGTTTTTAATGGATCTTCAGCACTTTGAGTGATTTATTTCACACGTTGATGAAATGGACAGCAATGGGCTGCATTTTGACGTTTATTGCAGCGCAACTTGATGAGGCAGGCCGTCTGACTGGCTGACCGACTGTCTGCCTGCGCGTTTCACTCGCCGTGACTATGTTCGCACAGCAATGCCGTTGCTTGTGGCAACCAGTTAGTTGCATGCACCATTGCGCCGATGGCGCGTAGGCATAGCGCGTATTTTTAGTTGCAATGCGCATTCGCTTTCTTGTTATATGTATATGTATTACGTTTTTCGTCATTTTTTTTCAGTCCCTTGAAGCGGCTGCGCATGCGCGCCATTACCTTCATCACATGCTACAGTGTAAGCGCAACCCGAGCGCTGCAGTCATTTTTGCAATTGAGCGCTTCGTTCTGAGCAGCCGTAATAACCAGTACAAAAGTAACAACAAAACGCAGATCGTTGTTGCTCAGCGCGGCACAACGGCACCTCAGCGCGTCGCGGTAATGTTATAATGAGGTGGCGGCGGCGTCTGCAAGTAACGCGTGCAATAGCCACTGTTTAACCATAAGATCTTTAAAAAGCACCGCTCGGTTGTTTTTGTTGCTCACTTTGCCACGTCTGCTGTTTTGCCACACATCCACAACGCGTTCTTGGTGCCTACAGAAAGCAACAGACGCGCCGCTCCTCATTTGGAGCGCTCAATGTCAGCGCGCATTTTGTAATTTTGCATTAAACTTTACTCTTTACTCAATCTGCATTTTTTCAATCACTTCTTCCGCTGCGCCTGTTTTTCTTGTGTTGTCCATTTATTTTACGTTATTGGTTTATTTAGAAAAAAATTATATTATATATTATATTATTTTCAGCTGTTTGCCGCTTTGCATATTTGCCTCGAGCGCTTACATTTTTTCTCAGTCTCGCTGAGGCATTTAAGGGTTAAGCAATGTGCTCGTATCACGCGATATGTGTTTTATGAATATAATTACAGCATTATACAGACTTGTCTGTTATGAATAGGTGGGTATAAGAATACTTTGTCAACCATCGTTCAGCCGATGTTCTCTATAAAAAACAATTGGCCTGTGGGTGTAGCTATTTGCTGAAATACGTAATGCTGAACATTCTATTCCATATACAATATATAAAGGTTTTTTTCGGCAGCCGTGGTTTTACCGCTGCTTACAAATCGGCACTGAATCAAAATCCTCCATATATTTATGCTGTTATATAGTATACTTCGAGGTCCTTGCATATACCAAAGTCATGGTATGCTCCGGCATAATACCAGAGTCTTCTTCAATATCTGACTGAGATCAGATCAAATCATATCATCAGATTAAATCAGATCAGTTCAAATCAGATCAGATCAAATCATATCAGATCAGTTCAAATCAGATCAGATCAAATCAGATCAGATCAAATCAGATCAGAACAGATCAGATCAAAGAAGCAGTAAGAGGGGTAGATCGCTTGTTTCTAAATCGATAATGTACGGGAGATCTCACTGCCTTGGGAGGTTCATAACTAGTACCTGTTTTCTCACATAAATTGACATAAAATGTGTATAGCCTCCCAATCTGAAAAAAATTGGTTTGATGTGAGTTGATCTTGTTGGATAAATGTGCACCTTTTACCCTACTAAATTTCTTCGAAGACTGCTTGGGTATTTTATATTGTATATGAACACTTGAAGTTGAGCATTGATGGTGGTTTGTAAAAGTTCTAAAAGTAACCAATTAAATCTGAATATATAGAGTGAATCAATTATAGAGAAGTCTGTTATGTGCTCATATCCCCAGGGCCAGCATAGAAGAGAGAGTGGAAAAAGTATTCTAAACAAAACTTATAAAGAATTTCGGAGATAATGTCATTAGTAAGGTTAGGTTAAGAGTTCGTTCCTAAAAGGCATCTCACTTGGATAGCTTGTTACACCGAAGGTGAGACTGCCAAGATGTTTCATGCTCAGCTATGCAGAGGCTGGACGATGGAAGAGAAAGTGTCTGAATGTGTACCTTACCCGCCACCATACAACTTTGACAACTTGCGTCCGTCAAGCTTTTTAGACTAGCCACATGAATGCCTATTGAATAATATCCAGTAATAACCCCTGTTATTGCGGCGGGGCTCGATCAAAAATCTTTATTTGATTCAGATACCTACTTATTTCAGGAATTCCAAGATTACCAGAGGAGAGCAGTTCGAGAGTAAGAACTTAAATACGAGGGTTGACATCGAAGACGCTCGGATAACGTTGGCACGGTCTTCAAAGTGCAATAAAATGATTTATTTTTCTATGTTTAAAATTTTTTAAAGCGACGAAAGTTAATATTTCGGACCTTTGTAGTAAAATTGGGTTACAATACTTGCACTCTCAATCCCCATAAATATCCAATGGTTGTAGCAAGTTGCTGCCTTAGAATGAATATTTTATAATTATTGTTTACAGCTTTGCTTGGCTCTCTATTTAATTGAGAAACCAAAGCTGCAGAGTAGATAATGGAGAACTAAGCAAGCTGTTACATCAAAAGAGCCACATAAACGCTAATTAAATTCACATACATTTCCCACTCAACTAATACATACACATACACACATGGTCAATATGGTATTCAGGCGAATAAATTGGTATCTGTTTTTGTTTACGAAAAGCTTTCATATTATTGGCAGTAGACCAATTTTGCAGCAACTACAACAACAACAACAATAGCAGCGC